AGAGAGAGAGAGAGAGAGAGAGAGAGAGAGAGAGAGAGAGAGAGAGAGAGAGAGAGAGAATGATGGTAACGGTAGGATTAGTAAAAACTTATATTTTGGTTCTTAGTTGTTCACAGTGGTATTAGGATGTCATGTTATCACTTTCGTTTGTATTTTTATATGGTTATAATATGGCATCCCTTTATCTAATGTAATGCACACTTGATAGTTGGTTTGTATGTTGGTAACAATTAATATATATATACTTTAACAATACTTGTGTTCGGTTAATACATGAAGTTAGTGTGATTATGTTGTTAAATTACTTTTCAATTTGGTGGTGTACTTTCTTTTATTCTTGTTGAATTCCTTAGACTATAGCTTGATAATAAATTGAATCTCCTCTAATTATTTTATAATTTTTGTTCATTATAAGTTCAGTTGTTACTAAGAATTATGAGTATCACACCCCATAGCTTGGACTCTACCTTTGGTTCTTAAGGCGTGATTTGGCGATAATACTCGTAGCTCAAATGCTTAAAGTAGAATAAGAAAATCATAGTGCGTAAATACTCATCAACAAAGGTTCACAATTGGAGGAAGAAATATCTCGGTAGCTGCCTTAAGACTTCAAAACTGTCAACCTAATAAGATACTATAAACATTCTAAGTCATGGTGGAAAAAAATTATGGTGAATACTCGATACAGTTCGACATGACGGGAAAAAAAACAAAGAGAAAAGCTAGAAGAAGAAAAAAGAATTTGGAAAAGTTTATATAATAAACATACAATAAGGATATTAAAATAATTGTGACTAAATATATAAATGAATATATGGTTGTCGGTATTTTTATGTTTTTCACTTCTCCAATTTAACAAGTGACGACGAAGGAGATGACTAATCTTTGAGAAAAAGTGCAGTAAATAAAAGGGGTTTAACGGGTTATTAATGAGTTTAAAAAAAATAAATCTTTTTTTTAATTTGGTGACTTTTCGTTAGGTGGAGGATATTTTTAAAAAGTTTGGTTAATGGTAAGAATAGATGTGACCAAATAATATAATGGAGGATAAATATAAATAATATAACAAAATAGAAGGATATATCTGACCTTTCTCCCTTAAATTTAACATAAGCTGTGGAAAACAGAAGAACGCTGTATTTGAAATTTTCTAGTCAAATACTCCTATCTTAACTTAAAATCTTACAGATGTAAGTCTTCAAGCAAAGTGTCAGTGTCAAATGTTGGTCCGCAAGAATTCTCCAAGAACCTACCTTCATACACAGCCAGCAAGAAACCTTAAAAGGGCAAAGATCTCTTTTAGTCTATGTCCGAAACTATTTATATCCGACATTCGAAAAAATATATAAAATTTATATATTATTTTATATATAATATATATAAATTATATATAATATATTTCGCTATTATTTTGAGAGCGGCTATACAATATTATTTTTTTTAATGTTACTAACACTCAAAGGACAGTCCGGTACACTAAACTCCTGTTATGTACGGGGTCCGTAGAAGGGTCGGACCACAAAAGTTTATTATACGCATTCTTACCATACATTTCTGCAAGAGACTGTTTCTACGGCTTGAACTTGTAACCTCTTGATCACTTGATAACAACTTTACTAATTGCGCCAAAACTATCATACACTTTAATAGAAAGAAAAAAATTGGAACATGATATTCATAGTACATTAATTTAAAAAAAAGTAATCATATCATAGTACTACCTCAGAAGTTAGTAAGTATATTGGAGCATAAAAAGGCAAAATTGATGAGGTCAACTTGTATTTAGTCTTCTCAAGCTTTGTCTTTGCATACTCCTTTTCCTTTCATACACGTTAACACGCTGCATCTATCTCTCTCTCTCTCTCTCTCTCTCTATTCCTATGTCACACGCTTGTTCAAATAATTTTCTTCAAATTTTACTATTTTTACAGCTGCAAGATTCTTGTCTTTAAATTGTTTTTGTATCGATTTAAAGGTTCAATCTTTCACTTTTTTAGCTTCAATTCTCAATTGGGGTTTCTGAGATTTCCTTATTTGTCTTCTGTTTTCATATGAGTTCCTCTTGTTTTTGAGCTTTCTTGCTTTTTTGCTGTGTTTTAGTCCACATGGAATTTTTTTCCCTTTTGGTGTAAATCCCACTTTTTTCATAGACTTTTCTCTGTTCCTTTTTTCCCAAGTTAGTTCTTTTCTCACAGTCATTCCAATTTTCAGTTTTTCTTACTTTTCCATGCTTATCCTAATTTGGTTCCTTTCTTAGCTACAAACAGTTAATATTTTTCCCTTAGTGATCATCAAATTTTCTCTTTTAGCTACAGAAAGTTGGTATTTTCCCCCTATTAATCATCTAATTTTAATAAAAATTCAATCTTGGAAGATTTTTGATAAAGAAACAGAATCTTTGTGTAATTTGGCAAGAAGGGAAGGTTTCAAGATTTTAGCTTTGAGGGGAAAAAAATGCTGAAGTGTTTTTATATATTCAAGGATAAGTCAAGGTCAAGAAGGAGAGGGGAATCGGCACCAGAATTGAGTAATGAAAGTAGGAGAGATGGTAATTCAGAAGGGAAAAAGGTAGCTAAGTCTACAGGTTCAGTTTCATCTGCTAGAAGTATACCGCAAATGTATAGAGAAAAAGAGCAAAATTTGAGGGTTTTTTCACTTTCAGAGCTTAAGGAAGCTACAAGGAGTTTCAATAGGATGTTAAAGATAGGGGAAGGTGGTTTTGGGAGTGTATATAAAGGTACAATTCAGCCTCCTAGTGGAAGAGGTGATCCTATTGTGGTTGCTATTAAGAAGCTCAACACACTTGGATTGCAGGTATGAGCTTTTCTTTGATCTGTAGTATATGTATAATTTGCTTGCCTTTTGTAAAAGATCTTCATTTGATAAAATGTCTGAGAAGTAAATGAGTTCATGATTTGAATCTTTGATTGATAGAGAAATAGTAGAAATGCCCTTTTGAAGTTTATGCTATTGTGGTCTTGTAATAATATAAAAAAAGGGCAGCTCAATTGAGCTCCCGCTATGCGTGGAGTCCGGGGAAGAACCAGACTACCAGGGTCTATTGTATGCAGTCTTACCCTGCATTTCTGTAAGAAACTGTTTCCACGACTCGAACCCGTGACTATGCCAAGGCTCCCCTTCCGGTCTTGTACTAAGATAGTTTAACAAAATTGGATTGAGATAGCACAATTTGTGCACTTTGAGCAAGATAGCCGAATATGATGTGGCGCATGATATCTTAATTTGGCCCAGAATCTTGGAAAATTCTATGTTAAAGTAACTTTTATGACTGATAAATGCTTCACAAATAAAAAAATGGCAAATGGTAGACTCAAAACTTGTTACATTACTGCCTTTAATGTATGCATTTTTCCAATTTGTGGAACAAATATAGTGTAATGTTCTACTCAAGTGTTTTGAGTTGGAAGGGGGGAGGTTGCCAATCACCTAAAGTTTCGCTTCATGATATTTAATGCTTTACTTATTTTGTTTTTCTGGTGATCTGGGACTAAATTCCTGAACCTCATTCTTCTACGGGATCTGAACTCCACTGATTCTGCTTTGCGTATCCTACGTATGTGTATTACAATTTAAAAGGCACTGCCATGTTAGTATTATTTTGGTGCTAAGATGAATATATTCGGGTTGTGAACTAATTTAGCAAGCAAAATTGTTGTCTTTCTTGCTTCTTTTCTCCACAATTCGTTAGTTGATACATTGAATTTCTGCATTGAGTAACTATTTTCCTGTTTACATCCGCTTCTTATGCACTTAACCTTTTGAGATTCAGTGCCGCTTTAACTCCCACTGGTCCAGGTCTTAGGAACCCATTCACTCTTTTCTTTAATGGTCATTGATCTTTTTTACTTGTTTCGTTATGTTGAAGAATCATAAATGAAGTAAACAGTTTAACATCCACCTTTGTTATTTACTTGTGTAAGCCTACTGTATCTTTATCTTTTACAACGTTAATACCTCAAATGAGTACCACTTGTTGCATCTTCGTCCCATAACCAATTTCATGTTTATGGGGAGGGAACATATATCTTTCCGTCACTAGCTAAGCCGTTATTAATTGTTGTCTTCGCCTTTTCTTCGTTTCATTATTGAGTTTGCTGTATGACTCCTAAGATAAACGTAGATAATTCTTTATATATGCAGGGCCACAGACAATGGGTTGCAGAAGTTCAATTTCTCGGTGTTTTGGAGCACCCTAACCTTGTTAAGCTTCTAGGATATTGCGCTACAGATGGGGAAAGAGGGATTCAGCGCCTATTGGTTTATGAATACATGCAAAATAAGAGCTTAGAAGATCATCTGTTCAACAGAGCTGTGCCGGTAATTCCCTGGAAAACAAGATTGAAAATTATCCTTGGTGCAGCGCAAGGAATGGCTTATTTGCACGAGGGTCTAGAAGTCCAGGTATTCTTTAACTACACAGATAAAATGATTGACACTTCAGATTTTGCTAATCAGTTTACAATTGCTTCTGTGCTAGTCACATAGAGAATAAATATCCTTTGACTTTGCCAACAAAGTCAGGTCCTAAATGTCAAGTGCTGATTGATAGTTATATATAGACTTGTTTATCAAGCTCTCTAAATAGTAAACATGTTTTCAAGCTCTCTAAATAGTGCACCTGTTTGTTCCAATGGTTATTTATTGTTGGATCATCATTGATGAATTTGTAGCACTTTGCCTTTTAACATTATTAGACAATGGCATATTTCATGTTCCATGTGCTTGCAAAACGCAACAAATAAACCTCGTTATGTCATGTGTGTCAGTGTTTCCAACTAACTTCTGAAGCCAAGAACGATAAAGCATGAGTAGCATGTTATGATCATAATTATCACCCATTAAGCTAACACAACTTGCGCTCCTGAAAGCACCTTTCTTTTTTCTATCTTCATACAAACTCTTGAACTTTTTTTCATTTCTCATTCTTAATGAATACTTTTTGATTGAAATGTAAAGGTGATATATCGAGATTTCAAGTCATCAAATGTGCTTCTGGATGAGGATTTTAATCCAAGGCTTTCAGATTTTGGGCTTGCAAGGGAAGGGCCGGCTGGTGATCGCTCTCATGTGTCTACAGCGGTAAGTGATGGCGATAATGGTTATCGCATGAATGCCAAATTTTTGTAGTTGGGGTCATTATTAGGACTTAAATTGCATAGGTGAAGTCATACTTTAGCCTTTGATTCTCGTTGGCTGATCATTATTTTGTATTTTCTGTGCATAGCCGGTTGGGACTTTAGGATACGCTGCCCCTGAATATGTTGAAACTGGACATCTATCGGTCAAGAGTGATATTTGGAGCTTTGGAGTTGTTCTTTATGAGATCCTCACTGGCAGACGAACTTTGGAAAGGAACCTTCCCGTGATGCAACAGAAGCTTATTGATTGGGTAAAGCAATTTCCTGCTGATAGTAGAAAATTCAGCATGATCATTGATCCAAGGCTTCGAAACGAGTTCTCACTTGTTGCTGCTAGGAGAATTGCAAAACTGGCCGATAGCTGCTTAAACAAGATCGCCAAAGAGCGTCCAAAAATGAGTGAAGTAGTTCAGATACTAACACAAGCAGTACAAGAATCACAAGAAACAACTTCTTTAGAAATCACAGGTCCAGGTCCAGGGCCATCTCGGCCTACACAGCTTGCCTCACCTAAACAACAACTTAAAAATAAGACCATTGCTGAAACTGCACGGCCAATGCGCCCCATAGCTCAGGCAAGTCTACTCAAAATATGGCCTTATAGAAGTTACTCATAAATTGCTTTGTCTAACTTTCTTGTTCTGCTATATCAGGCGTGAATGCTCAAAAGATCGCGGATCATATCTCAAAATTGAGATCCTTATGCACGAGGCGAGTAAATTTTTCTATATATATAGTAAGTAATATTCTTTGGTAAAAGAAATGGGCTCTTCACATGTCCCATTAGAGTTCTTTTTTGATAAAGTATGTTTGCACTAGGAAGAGTATGGCAAAAGGAGGGAAGTTTCTTTTTTCAGTTAAAAGTGATTTTTAAGAATGTACTTGTAAACTCCTTAGTTTAGGACTTCTATTCACTAGTGTTTGTTTGTGTAAATAAATCCATTTGTATTCCAAGATTTCAGAGCAACAAATTTTGTTCCTCTTAGTTCCTATTTTGAGTGGCACCCCGAAAATCTTTAACAATTTAACTCTTGATCTATAACATTATTTGCAAAACCATTAAACCAGTGCCAAAGTGGTAAACTTTGACCACCACTAAGAGAAAGATTTAAGTTTGTGTAAGTATTTTTTTTAACACTATTAGTGTATTTTAAGTTTTTAACTTGTTATAGTAAATAGATTAAAAAAAAATCATCCTCTAGCGCCGCGTAGTTTTCTCGTGAACAATAAAAGTACCATAAATACTAGTAGAATTTTATCTTGAAAAGGTTTTAAAATGAAGAATTAACCCTATATATATATATATATATATATATATATATATATATATATATATATATATATATATATATATATATATATATATGTGTGTGTGTGTAAATGTGTATAATCAATATATAATTTATGTATACTGGTTACAAAAAGTAAACAATGAATTTGACCGGCTATTTGTGTAACAATCCCAAAAAGGTAAGATTTCCTTATCCTCAAAAGTTTTACTGTTATTATGTAAGCGTATCATTAAACTAGATAATCATATCAAATTTTTTACATTCTTAATTGTATACAATCGGAAATGTTTTTTAAATAAATTTCATGATTCCATATATTTTTAATGTACGTTTAGTTTTTAAATTAAAAAATTTGTGGTTGCTGTACTGCTTATGCCTCACTCCATGATAAATGCACGTATCACCTTATATTTTTGTATGTTAAATACAGGTCAAATACCTTATATTTTTGTTTGTTAAAAGTTTCCGCAAAGGACCAAATATACCCATGTTCTTTTGAAAATGGTCTAAGAATACGTCTCGTTATACTATTGGGTTATCTATACCCCTCCCGTCATACTTTGGAACAAAAATACCCTTATTTTGGATGGAGTGCCACGTGTGGCAGCACCAGATGAAAACGACTCATTTCTTTTTTTTACCCGATCCGTTTTAAAAAACCCACCATCCGACCCAATTTTCACCCAAGGCTAAATTTAGCATCTTTTGATCTAAAGCAAATTTTTTTGTAAAAACTGAAGAAAAAAAAATGCTTTAAAAAAAATCAGTTTTTTTAAAAGTATTTTGTTTTTGTAAAAACTGGAAAAAAAATAATTTTGCAAAATATTTTCGTTTTTTTTTAAAACTAAAAAAACTAATGCACCTGTAGTCCACTGCTTTAGGAAAGATTTTTTTTCAGTTTTTATAAAAAGAAAATTCAATTTTTTTCAGTTTTTTTAAATCATATATTTTGTAAAAACTGAAATTTTGTTTTTGTAAAAACTAGAAGAAAAAAAAGAATTTGCAAAATATATATTTTTCAGTTTTTTAAAGTATTTTTTTGTAAAAACTAAAAAAAAGATTTTGCAAAATATTTTCATTTTTTAAAACTAATGCATATGTAGTCCAATGCTTTAAAAGAGTCTTTTTTTTCTTTTTTTTTTTTATTTTTTACAAAAAAATATTTTTTTTCAGTTTTTACAAAAAAAATACTTTTTTTTAAAATGGTTTAAAAAACTAAAAATACTTTAAAATATATATTTTGCAAATTTATTTATTTTTTCAATTTTTACAAAAAATAAATTCTAGTTTTTACAAAATATATGCTTTAAAAAACTGAAAAAAATTGAATTTTATTTTTGTATAAACTGAAGAAAAAAAAAGGACTTTCGTATAACAGTGGACTACAGGTGCATTAGTTTAAAAAAATAAAAATATTTTGTAAAATCATTTTTTTTTCATTTTTTACAAAAAAAAAAATGCTTTAAAAAATTTAAAAGTTATTTTTTTAAAGCATTATTTTTTCAGTTTTTACAAAATAATTGTTTTAGATCAAAAGATGCTAAATTTAGCCTTGGGTGAAAATTGGGTCGGGTGGTGGGTTTTTTAAAACAGATCGGGTAAAAAAAAGAAATGGGTCGTTTTCATCTGGTGCTGCCACGTGGCACTCCATCCAAAATAAGAGTATTTTTATTCCAAAGTATGACGAGAGGGTATAGATAACTCAATAATATAACGAGTGATATTTTTAGACTATTTTCGAAAATATATGAGTATATTTGGCCTTTGCCCTAAAAGTTTCCATTCTCAACTCATCATGTGAACTCGAAGTTTCCTTCGTAGCTTTCGAAACTTATTTTACCACAGTAATGCAAAGAATGATAATTTTTTAATTCGTCGATTGTACATTCCCGTTGAAGAAGTTACTACTCACTTTTTAGTCCGTACATGGTATTGGCTATCTCAGATGGTAGACTATAACTTTTTAATAAATATGTGCAAGTATAATTGTAAAAAAAATGCACCTTTTCACTATAAGTAACTTCACAAATATAAGTTCAAGATATGTCATTAGTTGCAAAATGTCACTAATGATGGGAGACAGTTTGTACGCAATTTAAATTCATTAAAGCATTTAGGCCACATTTGGTTACATGTAAAGTAAAAATAATCATGGTATAGAAATTCATATGATTTTAATACAGCACTCGGTATGCATACAAAATCCTGCACCACTAATTAGTATTTATATAACTTTATACTATGTTTGGTTTCAAGTATCGGTAATTAAATATTGTATAACAAACACAAGTATAAGTTATAGGAGAATTCATGTATTATTTTATATATATATATAAAGTGGCATAAGTAATACGTGGATATAAAAACAATAATAGTATAATAATCGTACAACAGGTAATCCCAAAATAACAAATACATCTATAATTTATGTAAAAAAAAAAAAACTTAGCCAGTTTTCGGATTGGTAATTAAAAAATAGCCAGCGTTTGCGAAGTCATTGAAAAATAGCCATTGTTTTGCTGAAACACGAAAAGCTCCAGCATAATATGCTGGGTTATGGAGCTCCGCGGATAAACTTCCAGTATATTATCTTGGAACTTTAGCACACGGAAAGTTCCAGCATAATATACGAGATTATGAAACTCCTGCACATAAACTTCCAGCATATTATGATGGAACTCCATCACATTATAAAATTCCAGCATATTATACCGGTAGCCCATATGTAAAAAATTTGAACTTCAGCGTATTATGCTGGAATATTTTCGAATTTTTAAGAGTGTTTTTGTTCAGATTTTATCTTTACATGAAAAGTTGTTAAATTTCAATTATTTTTGAAATTGCGACTATTTTTCAATTACCCGTCGTAAATATGACTATTTATTATCCCGTAATTTATGCACCACATAAAGATTTTCTTATTATTTATTCTCTGTGTAAAAGTATCCCCGTATTATTTATTCTACACATTGCAATCCACATATTATTTATTCTTCGTATAACTATCTATGAATTGCAATCCTTGTATAGCCAAAAATCAACCAAACGATCCCTTACTGTAATGAAAACGACAGTCTATATCTCTCAATTAATATCCAGGATACTTCTACTCTTTTGTTCTTTACTTTTTTTTTGTAGATATATACCAATATTGCGCGTGCCATGTACTTTATATTATATGAATATGAATTGTCAGCCATTCTTTATGATTTGAACATTTTAAAATACTAAATCAACAACAACAACAACAACAACAATCCAGTATAATCTCACTAGTGAGGTCTAGGGAGGGTAGTGTTTATGCAGACCTTACTTCTACCCTGGGGTAGAGAGACTGTTTCCGATAGACCCTCGGCTCTCTCCCTCCAAGAACTCTCCACCTTGCTCTTGGGGTGACTCGAACTCACAACCTCTTGATTGGAAGTTGAGGGTGCTCACCACTAGAGTAACCCACTCTTGAAAGTGGAGGACTTGAACATTTTGAAATGGTTCGCGTATTTCGGACCAGTTAAACTCTCACGGCTCGACATGACATCCTAAGCTATGTTAATAAAGTTGTATAGGGTAAAATTGGTTCATATTAAATATTTGGGTAATAGAACGACACGTGGAACCAGATATAGATGGAAAGCGAGATAGTTGAAAATCAAGACCGGGAGCAACAGTTTCGGTTGGCACCGGGAAGCCCCCGGAGGGAATATTGCTAGTGAAGACAAATGAATACCTATCACTCGATAGCATTCAATGAAGAATATTCTGTTGTATTAAATACATAGTCCGTTATAGAGAATTTTGGCATTCATAGCCTGTTGTTACACATTCTTCATTGCCCCCCATAATTGTCATTTAAGAAGGGCTTGATCCTAGGACCTTGTTCCCTATGTGCAACTATAAATAGTGACTTAAACAGCCATGGTAAGGGGACACGAATTTTCTCATAAACTTATGCTACATATTACTTTAACAAGAGTGGGTTACTCTAGTAGTGAGCACCCTTCACTTTCAACCAAGAGGTTGTGAGTTCGAGTCACCCCAAGAGCAGGGTGGGAGTTCTTGGAGGGAGGGAGCCGAGGGTCTATCGGAAACAGCCTCTCTACCCCAGGGTAGGGGTAAGGTTTGCGTACACACTACCCTCCCCAGATTCCACTAGAGGGATTATACTGGGTTGTTGTTGTTGTTGTATTACTTTAAAGCTCAATAACACTTTATTTCTCGTTTATTGATATTCTGATTATTGTCTTCGAAAGTTCTGCTCCCGGAACTAAACTATTTGTTGTCTTATCTCAATTTCAACGCTAAGTCTTGTATTTTTTTTATTTAATTTATTTATCATTTTATGATCAAATCGATTCGTTTATCTATAAATCACGTATAAATTCAACTGTACCATTTTATGAGTAATTAACAAAAGTTATATTTAATGATAGAACATTTTATAGCATTAAGCACTGAGAATGCATATCCAAGCACAAAAACTTCTTCTTCATTAACTACACCATCATAGTGAGAAATTTTTAATATATAGAAGACTCCATCACAATTGAAAAACCGATACAAATGACGATACTCAATGGGCGGAGTTCCACTGATTATAATGAGGGATAAAGCTAATATTGACGATAATGGAAGACTTATGATTCCTAAATTTTTGGCGGGCTTAAGCATAAATCTCTATCCAAAATAACTTTGCACAAATTTGC